ATGCCACAATTTTCATTTTTTCATCTTTGAATTTTTGAAAGTCATAGAAAAGGTGTTATAAAAAGTTTATAATATATAAATGTACCCTATGAATGTAAAAAATAATATTTTTAGCTAAAGCCAGATAAATTTAATCTTTAGAGAAAATTCATCCCACCTGCTGAACCCTCTTAAAAATGCCCACCCCTATGTTTTTTATTTTGATTTTTGAGTGTTAAAAGTATTTTCATGTATTTTTTATTCAGAAAGAATTTGGATTAAAATTTAAGAGTTAGCTGCCGTCTGTATTAAAAGTTGCATGTCGCTATTTTTAGCAAAAGAGCCATGTGAAAAAATAAAGAAAAATTGGCAATAGAAGCAGTTTAAATGTGTATAGGAAGAGATATATTTGTCAGTAAAATTAGGGAAGGCAGATAAGAAAAATTAACAGTAACACATCTCGATATCATCACTGGCATGAGCAAGTTTTAGAATGATTTATAACAAAACGTAAATATAGACAAGGAAAAGACCTGGTCAAGTTTTGCCGATATATGTATGTGACTTTGTATTTAAAAAAATTTATAAAACATAACATAAAAATTAATATTTAAAAAAATAATGTTAAGAAAATGTTATATATTAAAACTTTTCGGGCCTTCATCTTTGAATTTTTGAAAGTCATAGAAAAGGTGTTATAAAAAGTTTATATATGTACCCTATGAAAGGAAAAAATAATATTTTTAGAGAAATAAGATTTTCTTGAATTGAGCCTTAGATTCCAATGCTAATTGGCATGATATAAAATTGAAGGGATTTGTGATATCAGCCACATTACATTTCCAGAATTTTTGGTAATTATAAACTTTTCATTTCCAACATTTTTCAAATACATATCTAGTTCCTAAAGTAACAGATTTTATTACTTTACTAATGGGAAATTTAAAGGAATAAATCATGAATAAATTATTGAAATTTTGTATATCTATCAGTGACTTGGACATAAGAATGGCGATGTCACGGACATTTCAATTAGTGCACATTCGATATGGTGACAAAGTTAACTGCTCATCAAACTCTTTCACCAAGACTTAGTACTAAATGTATGCATAGATGTTTTTTATTATTAATATTTTGGTATAAATAATTTTAAATTTACATTTTCTTTTACTTAGAAAACATTGAATTGCCCCATAGGCAAATTTCGGAAATGAAAAAAAAATTATATCTGAAATGTAAACAAAAAAAATGTCGGAAATTAATAAATTTAAAAATATGTCCAAAATGCTATGCAATGCAGCGGTGATATCCTGCAATCTAACGAAAGCCTTTTACCATGTTTACACTTTGTATTTTAGAATACTTGAAGGAAACAGAAGACATAGAATACCAAATAAGTGAAATAAATCATGAAATTTTCTCAGAGTGCCTGAATACTTAATGCAAATATATTTGTTGATCAGTTTGTAAAAATGCATAACTGATATTCATATTAACTTTTTCTGCATAAATATTGGAGATTTCACAATTCTCCCTATATAATATGATTAACGTTAATGAAAATCTGTGGGTAAAATTAGATTACTTCGGGGATCATATGGATTCAAGTATATTTTTATGAGTATTTTCAATAACCTTTCATTGACCTTGGCATTATTTGAAAGAGTTTAATTATCGGAGTGTGTATACCAAATATGATGACTCTATCTCCTATGGTTCAAAATTAATTGGAAAGTTGAAAAATCTAAATTTTTACATGTAACATCTAGGTCATTGAAAAAAGCTCAATTAGTGGATTAAGCATATAAATAAATATCTTTCCAAAGTTATGCAAGGTCACAGTTGACAACAGACAGACAAGAAGACAGACAGAACTAAAACTATATATGCCCCGAATCTATAGATTTGGGCTCATAAAAAATCTTGCTCAAGTTGTACTTTACATCAATCTTTAAAACCATTGGTAGCTGGTTAACCAAAAAGTGAAATAAATCATGAAATTATTCCCCATGGTGCCATGTTGTATACTTCCCAGATTCCTTCAATATTCAACCAAGTTCAATTTGTTATACTGATTACTGAGGTAAAGCTAACTCTGTTTTTCTTACAAAAATAAGTTTTTTAAAGCCTCTATTAATTAATAAATTTGAGACTGTAAACATCCCCCCATATATTCATGGCATGCATGTTTAAAATTGGTTGCTCAAAGAGAAAATTCACTGATAGCGGCTAAGGGGAATAACTCCTAGGCATAATTTGTCAAAGGAAAACCATCTATAGGGAATGTAGTGGTAATGTATACTTTTTAAAATATGTACAGTCAGGGGTGTGATTGAAATCCATCATTTTTAAAAATGATGATTTCTAGTCATTAAATTGATTTTTAATAATGATGGAAATTCATCTTTTTTTAGAAAAATGATGAAAAACAGTCATTTCTATTTTGAAATTTATTTTAGAAATAGAGTTACCTCTGATATTAAAAATGACTGTATTTCATCATTTTTTATCAAATTGTTACATCTAACTTCATTATCTCGGTTTACGGGACGCACTAAATTATTTTGGTTTCAATTACTTGTCAAGATGTTTCTCTACACAAGGGTCTATGGCAGGATAGTGTACTATATCTAATTACTGTAGTAAATGGGTTGGGAAAATTGACTTGGGAATAAAAATATGATGAAAAGACGTCATATTTACAAAAATCAGAAGATCATGTACATTATATACTTAGAAGAAATGACGATTATCCATCGTTTTTAAAAATGATGGATTTCAGTCACACCCCTGACTGATGTAGCAGTCATGTAATATTTTTTGTAGCTAGGAATGACTAAGTAACACTTAAAATGAAAAGTTCAAAAAGTAGCAGTAATTATAACACAAAAAAACTAATATGTATTTCATTTCATTTTAGAGTGTAAAACATTGAATAGTATCAGAAAGAATCTTTTTCATGTACACCCCAGATGTTGTAAAACACCAAATACAGTGGTATTATCCGGACACATGGCAGCCATGTTTTAGGACATCTCTGAATCACCAGTTAATTAAGACAAAATAATATTTAAAATTTCGTTCAGATGAAAAATTCGGATACCAAGTTCAATTTGTTATACTGATTACTGTACACTCAAGTTTTGTGAAATTACATGTATGTCGATGACAATTTAAAATCTTAAAAAACCTTTGTATATTTGTATATTTATTTTATAAAGCCTCTATTAATTAATGTTAAACCCTCTCTCCTTTTTTTAAAATTCTTTTTTCATAATCATTGTATTTTATTGCTATTCTTTGCACATATATTTATGCATGCATAAATTTTTAAAATTGGTTTCTACAAAGAGAATTTATATATATCACTGATGTACGGCTGATGTTGGTGTGAGTGAAATAAAGGCAAAATTTGTCAAAGGAAAACCATCTCTAGTGAATGTAGTGTTAATGTATACTTTTTAAAATATGTAGCAGTAATGTAACATTTTTTGTAGCTATATAATGACTAAGTAACACTTGTGAAAAATTCAAAAAGTTTGACAGATGTGTTAATATAAAAAAAAAAAGAAAAAGAATCTTTATTTCATTTCATTTTAGAGTGTAAAACATTGAACTTTTGCATTATACATTAAACAATCAATTACAAACCACAGATGTTTTTTGTTATAAAAATTTTTAAATAACTCAAGTTTTGTGAAATTAATCAATATTTAAATTTAAAATTTAAATTCTTAAAAAAACCGGTAATATTGTATATTTTTCATTATGATTTATATTTAAAATAAATCGATCATTGATTCCTTCATAATCTAAATATTTCTACCCTCCGCACAATATAAATTTTTTATTCATTGTATGTTTATATTGCTATTCTTTGCACATATGTTATGCCTCTCATTTATGCTACATCGTGTATCATAATTCATAAATTTACAACCTGTCTAATACATATTTGCTTTCTTTTTCTTTTTCCACAATCAAAAACAAGTGAAACAACATTTATTTATATTGTACCTAAACATGTACCACTGATGTACAAATGGTGTGAATAGTGAAATAAATAAATGAATTAGATCTTGAAACCTTTTTTTTCTACAGAAACCCTGCCTTGCCAATGACCTTAATTATCATAATATATGTTAGAAAGGTTCATGCCCAAAACTTTTTTTTTAGACCTAGCAATTTTCTGCAGACAGGGTACAGTGTAATCCATCTTTAGGAATTAATTCTGACAATTCAGAAGTCTACAAAGCATTTCACAATTAATAACTTTGATATAAACAATTTAAGCATTCTGAACATTTTAACAGGCAACAAAAAATTAATTGATACTATTACATACATGTACTTTATTCTATGAAGTCCATAACACTGATTCCTCTTCATAAATTGATACTGTAAATTATTGTCTTCATTAAAATTTCTAAAGGGGGGGGGGGGGGGGCAATTGTGATAGGGATACATTTACATGTAGGTAAAATTTTCATAATCTATGATTTTCAATTTTTCAGTAATATTGAAATTGGCCTCAGGGTGTTGTATAAGTTACAGCTAAGTTGTTGCCAGAAAACTTGGCTTAAAAACTATTAAGTTTCGGAAATAACATACTAAAACAATTACATGTATTCAGAATTTTTGTAATTGAGCTCTTGAAAAATGTCAGCATGACGATTTTCGATTTTGTGTTCGCTGCTACATGTATCTTGTAATGAATTCTAATACTGTTTTGTTATCACCAAATATTCTATCATGTACACCTACACAAAAAATCCTAACTACGATACATTCATGTTCAAGACATTTGTCAAATTTATCTTGGCAATACAATATAGTAGTACTAGTACCCTTGCAATCACTGCACATGTACGACCAAGGAAATTCGAGTTATAAAAAATAACTACCGTCTCTACACTACAGTGGGCTACAGTGTGTAAACCACACTTTTATAAATGCTATATACAATTTGATCACAGCCAATAATTAATAGTGTAAAAGACAATAATTATAATATTACGTACCTTGTTATCCATCTTCATTAGTCAACCGTACACCACGCCGCCCTGTACAATAATGGCGCCCAGACGGGTCAACGCAATCAGCTGACTCCGGTATAAATAACGCCGAATTATGATTTTTTCACAAAATATAATCATTTGAAATATCATTTCATATTTTAATTATATCGTAAGGAATTTTACAGACATGTATAGGTGAATTCCTTGCCAAAAATAATAATATTAGTTGTAGCGTATCTTTTTGTGAAAAACGAATCCGTAAAATTAGTAAACCAGCATAATCCTGGTTTTAAGTAGGTCAATGCTGGTTTTTAATTAGGTCAATGCTAGTTCTATCCTTTGCTTGCTGATGCTGATCCAAGTAATGCTGTTTTTTTAAATGCTGATGCTGATGCTAGTTCTATCCTGATGCTACTTATGCTGATTTTGATGCTGGTTTTTGTAACAAAATTAGTTCCCTGCACTGTACAAGGATCAGGATATGTTGAAGATTGAAAATTGTTCAAGGCATGACCCTAGGGCAAAGAGCGTGGTCTCAAGGTCACTTCAAAGTTGACCTAAATTTACATTTAATAAAAACGTGTATATTTTTCTTACTATAAGGACTAGGATCATCAAATCCTGTAAGTTGATGCATCTTACAATTTCACATCATATTAACTCAAAAGTAGGTCACGATGACCTACTTTTTAAATTTTGCGGGGATTTGTTTTCAAATTGATTAGAAGGCATATTTTGGACACTTTAAGGCCTATGATCATCAAACTTTGTCTGTTGATGCATCTTGGATCCTTGAACAATGTCAACTTAAAAGTAGGTCACCGTGACCTACTTTTTGAACTTTATGACTTATCCTTTCAAAAAAACATTAAATCCCATCATTTCAGACACTGGGAGGTTTAGAATCATCAAATCTTGTACTTTGAGACCTTAAAACATAATTATGAAAAAGTAGGTCACTGTGACCTACTTTTTGAATTTGCCAGCATTTGTTTTCAAATTGTTTAAAATGCATATTTTGATAACCTTCAGACCTACAATCATCAAACTTGGTCAGTAGATGAATCTTGGGTCTTTGAAAAATGTTAATTAAAATGTAGGTCACGATGACCTAATTTCGACATTTTATGGCTATATTTAAGTAGCTTAGGTATTTATTGGCTTAGAATCATCAAACTTTGTGAGTAAATGCATATTTAGTTTTCGGAGAGTGACGATCAAAAAGTAGGTCATGATGACCTACTTTTGACATTTTATGGCTTTATTTAAGTATCTCTGGTACTTATTGGCTTAGAATCATCAAACTTTGTGAGTTTATGCATCTTGGGTTTTCGGAGAGTGACGAGCAAAAAGTAGGTCACGGTGACCTACTTTTGACATTTTGTGGCTATAATAAAGTATCTCAGACTCTGGTACTTATTGACCTGAAATCATCAAACTTTGTCAGTTGATGCATCTTGGGTTTTCGGAGAGTGACAAGCAAAAAGTAGGTCACAGTGACCTACTTTTTAATATCTCAGGTAGGTATTAGCTTAGAATCATCAAACTTTGTCAGTGTAGACATCTTGGGTTTTTGGATAACGTCGACCAAAAAGTAGGTCACTGTGACCTACTTTTAACATTTTATTGCTATATTTCATTATCTGGTGTTTATTGACTCGGAATCCTCAAACTTTGTCAGTTGAGGCATCTTTTGGATTCATTGAATGTCCAACAAGAAGAAGGTCACAGTGACCTTCTTTTGAATATCTCAGGTACTTATTGGCTTAGAATAAGTAAATTTTCTCAGTTTAGGCTTCTTGGGTGTTTGGATTACGTCGACCAAAAAGTAGGTCACCTTGACCTACTTTTGACATATGATGGCTTTATTTAATTATCTCTGGAACTAATTGGCTTACAATTGTCAAACTTGATCAGATGATGCATCTTGGGTTTTCAGAGAATGTTGACCAAAAAGTAGGTCATGGTGATCTACTTTTGAAAATCTCAGGTACTTATTTAATTAGAATCATAAGTATTTGTCAATTAATGTATCTTGAGTACTCAGAAAATTTCAATCAAAAGGTAGGTCACTGTGACCCACTTATGGTATTTTATTATTATATTAAAAAATGGCTAAATATTATCAAACTTTGTAAGTTGATGCATTTTCGGTCTTATCATACTAATAGAGTTGTAGGCTTCTAATAGAAGTGATAGATTGTACAATTTATCAGAAGAGCGATTCAAGGCCCTTGGGCCTCTTGTTTTCAACAAAAGATTTGTCATTTAAAACGGAAGGAAGAAGATATGTAAATATTTATTTTTCAAAAATTTAAATATTGCACATTTCATAATTCATATTCTATTTAATAATTATTGATGGGTTTACAAAATATGAAGTCATATTCATGTAATTCTGCTAGATTATTGTAAAACCAAAAATAAAAGTATTGATTGAAGGTCTTTTACTTTCCATGTTTTTAATATAAAGCAGTAGAGATACACACTTACCAGAGACACAGACCTGTTTGTTTTTATTAGGGTGCTAAGTTGTTCTTTTAGTTTACCAAATTTTGTTTTCTTTCAGACTACTTGAAGTTTTGGATAACCTCAATCAAGACATTTGGAGGCAAAAAGGCACCACTGTTTCTTGTTGCCACACACACAGAAACAAAATCTACAGATGTAAGTACTCAGGCTAATAGAAATGTGAATCACAAAAAATAACTGAAACTAACATATTTTGAGAATGCACTATTACAGTTTAACTTCAAAAATACAAAAGAACCAAAATTTATTTGACAGTCAATTGTATCACATATAATATACTGTTAATGTATTATATTTAGAAGTACGAAATATGGCGGAAATTGAATTTTAACAAGTTAGCATGGATTTGATTTGGCGCATATCATAATGCTTTTTAGCTCACCTGAGCCAAAGGCTCAAGTGAGCTTTTCTGATCACAATTTGTCCGTCGTCTGTCGTTGTCGGCGTTGTCGTTGTCGTCGTTGTTGTCGGCGTTGTCATTGTTGTCGTTGTAAACTTTTCACATTTTTATCTTCTTCTCAAGAACCACTGGGCCAATTTCAACCAAACTTGCTACAAAGTATCCTTGGGTAAAGGGGATTCAGGTTTGTTCAAATGAAATCTTCTTCTCAAGAACCACTGGGCCAGAAAGATGAAACTCATGTAGAATCATCACCAGGTAGTGTAGACTCTAATTTGTTCAAATCATGACCCCCGGGGGTAGGGTTGTGCCAAAATGGCCGATCAAAGTTTTACAAATGAATATATAGGAAAAATCTTTAAAAATCTTCTACTCAAGAACCACTGGGCCAGGAAATATGAAACTCATGTGGAATCATCACCAGGTAGTGTAGACTCTAATTTGTTCAAATCATGACCCCCGCGGGTAGGGTTGTGCCAAAATGGCCGATCAAAGTTTTACAAAGGAATATATAGGAAAAATCTTTAAAAATCTTCTTCTCAAGAACCACTGGGCCAGAAAGATGAAACTCATGTGGAATCATCACCAGGTAGTGTAGATTCAAGTTTGTTCAAATCATGACCCCTAGGGGTAGGGTGGGGCCAAAATGGCCGATCAAAGTTTTAAATGGGAATATATAGGAAAAATCTTTGAAAATCTTCTTCTCAAGAACCACTGGGCCAGGAAAGATGAAACTCATGTGGAATCATCATCAGGTAGTGTAGATTCAAGTTTGTTCAAATCCTGACCCCCGGGGGTAGAGTGGGGCCAAAATGGCTGATCAAAGTTTTACATAGGAATATATAGGGAAACCTTTTAAAATCTTCTTTTCAAGAACTTCAAATCCATGCTTAATGATATTTATATGGAATCATCCTCAGGTGGTGTAGATTCATATTTGTTCAAACCATGACCCCCAATGAGGTTAAAATTCAAGCCCCCCAGGGCAAACTCAAACTCAGTAAACTTTCAGTTCGGATCTGATATGTGCTTTTTCCTAGCAAATTGCTCAGGTGAGCGATGTGGCCCCTGGGCCTCTTGTCTTATATGTGTAAGGCATATAGCGCTGTTTTTGAATTAGGGGAGATTGCTTTCCGCCAATAGTGCTTAAAAGAATACACAGCCAAATGTATAACGTTTACAGTATTTTGTATTGCATCCTAAGTTTCATATAAATTGAAATTCAACAATGGATACCAGATTTACAGTGCAGTTGAAGTCAGTTTGAACTGTGCACCACATTTAATACTGAAATACCTGTTACTGCACATTTTCAAACATCGACACATAATTAAGTGGTTTAGTTTACAAATATGAATTAATATTTTATACCTGCTTTATTTACTTCTTCAGGAAATAGAGAGGTTCTTTGGGGAGTTCTGGAATGCTGTTCCAGACGAGGACAGAGATTGGTTAAGTGAGTCTCTGAATGATCGTGAATATGCAGTGGGTCTAAAGGAACTTAATGATAACACTAAAGCAATGCTAGAGTCAATGAAAAACTCCATAGTGGAATTATTTATGGATGAGAATACTACAAAAATTGAATTGCCTTCTTCATGGGCTCTAATGGAGCAGTTATTGTATGAAGGAGACTGGAAGGTTTTGTCCCTGAGTGAAATCTGGAAGCTCAACTCATCTCTTCCTTATGAATACCAAATCAAAGGTGATGAAGAAATGACCAAATTTTTAAAATGTTTCCATGACAGTGGCCTTCTTCTGAATTTTGAAGAAGTGGAGTTGAAGGAACATGTTATACTAGACATTCAGTGGTTTGCTAATGCTTTCAGCAAGATAATTGCTGATGAAAACCACATCAATAAAGATTGTAAAAGGAAATTAATTAGAGAATGGAAATCTTTTAACAAAACGGGGGAACTCAAAGATAAAGTGATAGATGCTTTGTGGAAAGATGAACCTTTATACTTGACACATAAAAGCGAAATTATGCCATACATGGAGAAACTTCAAATGCTGGTACATTTGAATTCATTTGAGGCCGTATCAGAAGATGGAATGTCATGGTATGTCCCATGTATGAACAAAAAGCAGTTCAAAGCTGACTTCCATGAAGATAAGTGGGAATGTTCGTCCATTTTGTGCTATCGATTCACTTCCTTTGCCATTTTTGTGTTCTACAGACTGGTAGCGTACTGCATGGGTACTCTTAGATGGAAAGTTTCAACAGATGAAAATCATGAAGGAAATTTATGTCTTTATCAAACAGCGGCAGTGTTTGATCACAAAGAACACACTATTGTTGTTGGCATATGTAATGACGAAATTCAGTTGCAAGTGTTGCGAATCAGACCATTGGCTGTGGATAAAGAGATTTCAAACGAAATTGGAGACTACGTTGAATATGCCATAGAGAATTTGACAGAAACATTTATTGACACAAACATTTTCTATAAAGGATTCAAATGCCAAAACATTATTTGTAATGAGAGAGATTTATCTTTTACCCTTGCAAGTGAGCTCTCCAAAATGAAGGCTACAGAAACGCAGTGCAAGTGTCAACTTCAGGACAAACATGTGATAAATGTACAGACGACTTTGAGTTTTTGGGAAAACGTAAATATTGCTTATTAATATACTATATCCTTAAACGATAATGATCTTATAGAAAAAATTAAAATGGTAACACATCATGAAATAGTGAAGGCGAGAAACAAACGTAGCAATACTGATGATGGGTTAAAAAAAAATTGAAATACAGGTGTTCTATCGTAATATATACATTCTTTTTAAAATAAAATATTTGCAAAAAACTGCAATTTACCTGTTTCTGCCAAAAATAAGTTTTGTTCTTTGTTTTATCTTGGCTACCTAGTTTCCTTTGGTGTCATGTGCATATTTTCCACTATCGATCAGTTTCATTATGAGTGAAAAATTGAAAGGACTTCATAGAATCAACAAATCAAACAATTTGTGAATATCTAATTGACAGTGATAGGAAGGCAAAATGAGAATAATTATTTTCTCTAATTGGTCATCAGAACTTTCATATATTTTTTCACTCTTTATGAGTGCATTTATATCATGTTAAAACAATCATGATTTCAATGAAAGAAATGTTTCTTTACCTATGTATGATATATGCTATATATGCTAAATGTATTATAGGTAATGAAGGCATTCTATTTTTTATTTAACAGGAACTAGAAAATGGATCCAACAAAGAAAAGAAATCGTCAATATTGTGTAAATATCTTCATGTCATATATTACTTCTAATTGTATTGGAATGCCTTTGCAAGAAATATCGCTGCATTAAGTCATATTAGATTCATTCCCATGTCTTCTAACAGGGATTAACGTTATACGTTTTTATTTGTGTACCTGCTAAACTGTTTCAATATGTATTACGTTTTTTTCCATTACGGAATTCCTTAGAATTAGAGGCACATTTAGTTGTCTGACTGGGACAGCATGGCGTTGCAGGTAATACAAAACATGCACATCTCAATCCAATTTTAAAAAGTTAAATGTATTTGTCATTCAGATCAAAGAATAGATAAACTTATAGACATATGTAATAGTGCCATAACCCTAACATTCATCATCCATTAATAAAAATACGACATTTCCGAGACATGTACACTGTATTTAGATGATAAACAGAAGATGCATACGATTTACAAGAGATAAAAGGGTTTTTGAACCTTAAAAGATGAACGATGAAATAAAAAAAAAAACAATCACAAGAACTTTTATTTGATTTAAAAAAAAAAATAGCAGACTCCTCTCAAATGAGAGGCTCAGATGGTCCAAACGATTTTAATCTATAACTCTTTGATGATCAAAATAGTGTTTTAAATGATTTATTATAACTATGGGAAACAATGTATTAACCCCTTTCCCCACAGTCACGCATTTTAACGCATATACCGTTGCCCCACAATCACGCATTTTAACGCATATACCTTTACCCCACAATCACGCACTTTAACGCACATTGCGTTTTTTGACGTTTTCTGCTCTGATACCGCGTAAAGTTTTGATGGTATGACAATAAATGATAAATAATATATTTTTTAAAGTCCATTTTAAAATATTTCGCAAATAAGAATATTTTTCCTCGTTTTAATATGTCTGAGTCGTTCGATTTATTGGATAAAACCTGGGATGCGAGACAAATTAAAGCTTTTCTTTTGACACTCAATAAGCTCATCACCTGAACAACTGGGTTGGTGATGTAGATATCCCCCAATCTTGTGTGAGATGGGACAATATTTCCACCGGAAAACGTATTCAAATTGGGCATTATTTTGAAAATAACGTCAAGCGGAGTTATACATTTTTGACGTAACTCATTGTGTCATAGGAAAGTTTTGTTATACATAATATTATGTGTTCCTCAGAATGATTCAGCCAATGAAATTGCTTGATACAATTGAAATTAAATTATTTCCTGATCATGACAATGAGCACACGGCGGGTGTGACCGGTCGGCAGGGGATGCTATCTCCTCTATGGCACCTGATCCCTCCTCTTATGTTTCGGGAGTCTGTTTTTCTCTGCTCTTATTTTCTATTGTTTTATGGACTTTGAAATTGAATACTGTTCGTTATCTCCATATCCCTCATGCAATTGCCAAAAGGAAATAAGGAGCAACTACACACCCGAGAATATCTGAATTAATATTCAAGTCAGAGTACATCGATTTTGAAGTTTCAAATAAAACAATGGCTTGTCTTGTTGGTTGATTGTGTTGTTTAATGTGGAGGGCATTATTTTATCCAAATATGAACTAAGTTTTTATTGCATGATAATAACTTATATCCTGATTTATGCTGAACATTACAATTACAACTTACAATATTTAAATTTTCTCTGTTGATCCTGGTAATGGTATAACTTTGATTCCGAGTCCCCTCCCCCAATTTTTTTTAAAATCACAATTACTGCCCTGCAAAATGCATTAAAAAAATTCCTTTTGTATCATTTGGGAATGTTCAATTGAATTAAGGCTGCGAAAATTGATGGACACCGATTATATTGTTTTGATCACTTTTACTGCCATTAAGCCCCCCCCCCCCTCCTTTATTTTTATTTATTTTTTTTAATGCACGATTTATACATTTTAAAAACATAATTACAAAAACATTCCTCAATCAGATAAATATATTTGCTTGTAAAACTAAAACGTAACCAAGTTTTAACACAATTTATGCCACATGTATGCCGACATGGAAATTGTTCATCCATGCAAATCTCGCATTTTTTCGAAAACGAATAATCAATCAATGCATCTAATCATCAAATCAGAAAATTGTCTATACTATTTTATGAAATTATTTAAGAAACAATCGTGATTGAAAGCATATTTTTTTGAAAATTCTGTCTACTACAAAATTCGTTTACCTTTCGTTTTAGGATCCATGACAAAGAGGGGGATTTGAGATATCCCGAACCTGGTCTCATTTATACTCTAGCTAACCCACTCAAATAGCAGCAACAAAGTTTTCCTTATAAAATAAGCACATCAATTATTTGAATTAATAAATGTTATTTTCAAACCATTTTTCCATAAAATAAACCTATTAGTGCATAGCAGAAATAACAATAGTTTTGCTAATTACAATTATTTTTCTCATGAATAACAGGATTTATTTTAGATTCAAAATTAAAATGTAGTTATCTTTGACAAAAAAGTAACAAAATATTGATTTTAAAGTAGAGTAGAAATAAAAAGATCTGGTATTGCTTCCTTACCCTTAAATAAGAATTACCTTGAGTATGCCATAAAGACCTTGTATAAATGTCCTCTAATTTAAAGAACATGTCATTCGTAAAACGGTATGGCAAATAAGGTATATTTGATTAAAAAGAACATGTTTAATTCCTATTTTAGTATCAAGAGAAGCTTTTGAAAATGAGCTGAGATATGGATCCTGCAAAATTCGACAGGTTCGCATAATGGTTGTTGGTCACTATGGAGTTGGGAAAACAACATTGACATACGGTTTAATTGGAGAGGATAAGAAAGTAATAGAAAGCACGGATGGGATTGACCTGTTTCGAGCTCGATGTCGAATGGAAGATTTGCAACAGGACTCTAAAAAGTGGTGTTTAGGTTTGTTTATCATCATAATTTGTATTAAGGTAGAGATTGATAGGTTATCAGCAAAAAAAAAAAAAATACCCATCGAATTTTTCTGAATTTTATATGTTTTTTTTTTGGGTCCTTCCTCTAAATCATATAAAAAATTCAAGGCAGGTCATCGGGCTAGTTTAAGAGAAATTTGACAATTTTGACATAGCCTTCATCAACCACCGACGAGCTGAAAAAGCAGAATAAAATAATATAGGAATATGATATGAAAAGGACTGTAATTTTTTTTTATTGCTATATCAATTTAATTATCTTAATATATTGTAAGCTTCCTCAGCACCCTGTCAAATGCCAATCAGCTTACAGTGTTTCCATCCCGTGTAAATTCAGTTAATTAAATTTTATCAGGACTACTCATGACATCCGTTCACATATAAAATGGGGGGGGGGGGGCATCCTCAGCCCATCGCATGTATTTAAACACCCTTGATAATTTACTTCATATTCCTGTTAATCATAACCAATTTCCATTTCTCGTTTCAAATATTTCATTTAATAAAGACTTCAACGAAATGTAACAAAACAGTCAGTACATCTATATGAATCTAAGTCCTAGCTTAACATATCTGGCCTAATAAAATACAATGGATTGCGGTGTCCGTGCGGTGGAGAAATTATACGCTACTTAATTTGTATTAGTTTACATTGTTTTCTCATACCTAAGTCGCTAGAAGTGATGTTGATGACGTAATATGATCTGATCGTTATGATCGTTGTTGTGTAACTGGCGTTCGCTGCTCATATATATAACCTTCTATAAATGGTCACGTGATCACAACAACCAATGTATACTTGTCCTGTTTGGAACCTCACGGAACTTCTTCACATGCATAATGTGTAATACAAAGAAAATAACATCGCTCAAAATGTCCTCTCTACATGTAAAGTAAGAGCTATAAATTCTATTTGATATACAAAATAAAATAAGTTCAACAAACAATCTATAATAAAACTGACACGCACAATCTACGGCTTGTAATACCGGACAATTATGTACACACATAAGTATTCGCTACACATTCAAGTTCCAAAACATTTCGTCGAATAAAACATACTTAAATGACAATACTGCAATAAAATAACATTAAACTATCAAGTATAAATATTTGAGAACACGGACAGTATTATTTCGATCATATCAATTGTAAAACGACAGTGTTTATGTCACATTACTATTTTCTTCGTAAGAAAGATGACAGGCACCCAATTTACAACACGTTATAATGCTGAAATAAGTAAGTAAATTACAGTCGTAATATGGTAGATAATGATGAAAAACTGACATATATCATCTCAGTATAACTGAGATGACTGTCTGTTCATCAATATCTCGCTAGATCGTCTAGTAATACAAAAACAGCATTTGTTTACATAACAATGTCGAAGTGCAATGTGTTTTGCATCAATAATTAAGGTAAACAATAAGATAATAAAATAACATGAACCAAAAAAAAATTCTCATAAATTTACAACTGGATGCTACTTTACAATACTTAAAAATACTCCACCATCAGCCTGTGATTAATATGCAATATTCTAAAGTCCACCCTCATATATATTACAATATCTTAAATTTACCAAGCACTGAAAGCAAAAAACAGAATTACATTCACCAAGATGCATGGTCAAATTTAGTTAAAATATTACCTATTCATTGCACAAAGTCACACACTTCTGCTTTCACTGGGAAAAAAATACCCATCAAATTTCTTTTTATTGCATATTATAGTTCTTAAATTATTATAGAATCTTAAATTTCAGAGAAAAAAAATCATACTACATAATGGGGTTTAAATTCATCTTGGAACAAGTTTATTATCTTACACCTTACCATACCCCCTTCCTTTTGAAGGATGCACGTTTGAAGAATATGGTGGCTAAGAGAGATTTTCAAGAATTTATCAAAATATTTCACAGAATATGAATCAATTCTTTGTAATATTCTACTAAGTTACGTTTATTATCACAAAAGCAATTCATACATGTACACCTAGACACGTGTTGTCCTGGTTGCCCTTTTGGTAACATAAAAAGATAAGAATTTTCTTCTATATCATTTACATGTAAATTGACTTTAATAGATGCATTATACAAATGATTCTTCGATGAATTATCAATGAAAATACCCTTAGACCAATCCTGTGCATAAATAAACTGGTCTTATCCTCCTTTGACAACAATATTATTAAATTCACTTTTTTTTTACAATTCCTTTTTACTGTGCAACTATATATTCAAGAAGTGGTGTGAATCAGATGTGGAAACTAAAAAAATTATAAAGAACTTTTAGACAATTTGAAATTACAAGACTTTACAAAAATCAACACCTAAAACTTACGACTTTTCAACTTTATACACAACAATTCCCCACGACAAATTAAAATCCAGGCTTTTTGATATTATTTACAGCTGCTTCTTCAATAAAAATAACACTCGTTAATTTACTTAGTACTTCGTCATTGGTCATTTGCAAAATTATTTTGTTAAAACAGATTCCGATTGCACGCATAAGTACTCTGAAGTTGACATCAAGAAAATGCTTGAGTCTCTGATTGACAATATCCATGTGGTTTTTTGGAGATCAGGTGTTCCAAAATCTTTTGGAATACCCATGGGTACAAATTGCACTCCGTTATTAGCAGACTTATTTTTTATATTCATATGTAGCAGAATTTAAGCAAAATCTAGATCTTGTGCGTGAAAAGAGGAAAACACTTGCTGTGGCCTTCTACTCAACTCGATATATCGACAACGTATTGTCAATTAATAATGGTAATTTCCATCCCTACGTCCATTCGATATATACTGGTTGAGATAAAAGATACCACAGAGTCCGATCCTTCTCTTTCATACTTAGATATTTTACTTGAAAAAGACACTAATGGTAATCTAACAACCATGCTATATGATAAACGTGATGACTTTAAATTTTCTATCGTCAACTTCCCTTACTTATGCAGCAATATACCTTCATCGCCTGCATACGGACTATATATATCTCAGTTGATTCGATACGCAAGAGCATGCTCTACGTATGAACATTTTCTAAAACGAGGTAAATTATTGACAAGCAAGTTCATGAAAAAAGAATATCAACAGTCTCATTTAAAGTCATCATTTCGTAAGTTCTTTTGTCGATACAATGACCTTGTCAGCAAATACAATTTTCATTGAGTCAAATGCTGACTGACGTTTTTCATGCTAATTGTTAGTCCATTATATATACACCGAATTGACGACGGATTTTTCCGTTATTTCCCGATGATGACAAGGAGCACACTTTGGGTGTGACCGGTTGGCAGGGGATGCTCACTCCTCCATGGCACCTGATCCCACCTCTGATGTTTCGGGGTCTGTGTTTGCTCTGCTCTTATTTTGTATTGCTTTAAGCACTTTGAAATTGAATATTGTTCGTTATCTTCATATCCTTTTTTATTCCAAATACATGTATTACATGTATGAGCAAATACACAAAAAATTATAATGTATTAGAGGTGGTAATTTGTAACTTTAAATTATAGATTTTGCAAACATTTTCATGAATGTTAGAGGAATTCCACCATAAACTGTATATGAAGGTGTACAATTTTAGCTCACCTGAGCCAAAGGCTCAAGTGAGCTTTTCTGTTCAAAATTTGTCCGTCGTCTGTCGTTGTTGTCGTCGTTGTCGTAAACTTTTCACATTTTCATCTTCCTCTCAAGAACCACTGGGCCAATTTCAACCAAACTTGCCACAAAGTATCCTTAGGTAAAGGGGATTCAAAGTTGTTCAAATGAAGGGCCACGCCCTCTTCCAAGGGGAAATAATTATGAATTAGTGAAAAATTCATGGCAGTTTAAAAAAAATCTTCTTCTCAAGAACCACTGGGCCAAGAAAGGTAAAACTCATTTGGAAGTATCCTCAGGTAATGAAGATTCAAGTTTGTTCAAATCATGTCCCCCGGGAGTAGGGTGGAGCTACTATGGCCGATCAAATTTTTACATAGAAGTATATATTGAAAATCTTTAAAAATCTTCTTCTCAAGAACCACTGGGCCAGGAAAGATGAAACTCATGTGGAAGCATCCTCATGTAGTTTAGATTCAAGTTTGTTCAAATCATGACCCCCGGGGGTAGGATGGGGTCACAATGGCCGATCCAAATTTTACATAGGAGTATATAGGGAAAATCTTTAAAAATCTTCTTCTCAAGAACCACTGGGCCAGGAAAGAGAAAACTCATGTGGAATCATCCTCAGGTGTGTAGATTCAAGTTAAATCAAATTATGACCCCCGGGGGTAGGGAGGCGCCAAAATGGTTGATCAAAGTTTTACATAGGACTAGATATAAAAATTTTTAAAAATCGTCTTCTCAAGTACTTCAAAGCCATGATTAGTGATATTTATGTGGAATCATCCTCATGTAGTGTAGATTCAAGTTTGTTCAAATCATAACCCCCATGGATAATGTGGGCCTACAATGGGGGATCCAAGTTTTACATTAAAATATATTTTAAAAATCTTCTTTTCAAGAATAGCAAAGCCATGATTAGTGATACTAGTATTTATATGGAAGCATTTTTTGGGTAGTGTAGAATTAAATTTGTTCAAATCATAACCCCCAAGGATAGTGTGGGGCCACAATGGTGGATCAAAGTTTTACATAGAAAAATAAAGGGAAAAATCCCAAGCACAGAAAAGCTATGTTTAGTCATACACGTATTGACATGTAAGCATCTTCATGTATTGAATTTTTAAGTTATTCAAATCATGGTCCTTTTGGGTAGGGAGGGAAACAATGGGGAATCAAATTCAAATTATTATGGTTATATATAGAAAGAAAATGTTTTTAAAAAAATCTTTTTATCAAGAACAGCAAAGTAATATGCAGTATTAAATATGAAGGCATTCTCAAGTAGTATAAGAATTCAAGCCCCCCTTCCCCCCTTCACTAAACTGTTCAGTTCTGATCTGATCTGTGCTTCTTCCTAGCTAATTTGTTTAGGTGAGCC